CCCCCCCCCCTACTTTTGCCCCCTCCTCTGGGCTTATTACTCTTTCTGCACATTTCTGCCGCTACTCCTTGGCTCCCTCTTCCTGCTATCTTTCAGACACACTCCTAGTCTTCGGGTAGGTAAGACGTAACACCTAGCCTTCTGGGATAAGGGCGAATAAACTTGAAGGTCACCTGTGCAAGTTGCGCACGTTAAAGATCCCTTGGCGGTCCTAAAATCGATAAGAGTGGGCTTTGGTCGCCACCAGGGCAACATTCAAAGTAAATTACTAATGTGTCCCGCGCTCATATGACTTTATGCACTCCCCCCCTTCTACCCCCCCCCGCCACCCCTCCCTCACACAACAACTCACATGACATTTTACCTCTCCCTCACACATCAACTCACAGTTCACCCCTCCCTCACACATCAACTCACATGACAGTTCACCTCTCCCTCACACATCAACTCACATGACAGTTCACCTCTCCCTCACACATCAACTCACATGACATTTTACCCCTCCCTCACACAACAACTCACAGTTCACCCCTCCCTCACACAACAACTCACAGTTCACCCCTCCCTCACACAAAAACTCACAGTTCACCCCTCCCTCGTCCATAAAACCATAGCTCACCCCTCCCTCGCACAACAACTCTCAGTAAGTTCACCTCTTTACAAACAAAAAGCCACCGCATCTGATGACTTTTTCTCTCTCATTGCGCGTGGCGACAGACTCAGCGCACCACCACCACGACCGCGCGCGCGCGGTGCGAGTGACACTGGACCCTAGAGGGGAGCATACCACCTCCGCGCGCGCTGTGTGTGTGTCCTCAACCAAAGTGGGCAAGGCACACCACATCGCCTCCCACCCTTGTCCACCTGTCGTTATTCCAAATCTGTGTCTCCGGCCGCGTGGCAGATTGGAACCTAAGCCCATCGGCTGTTACTTCGCTTCTCATCCTCCACTCCCTGTCCCAAAGTTATTTAAGTATAAAAGTAATTGTCATCTTCACTATCACCATACCCATCATCATCATTACCATCATAAATAGCATTTGTATAGCGCAAAGTCCCTCTCAACTGCAAGCTCTATGCGCTTTACAATCTACATCATTACCCCAGCAGACCTGATAGCTTTTGGAAACAACCTAAACTAACTAGGAAGAAACGTGACTGCTGTTTCCCGGATCTTTACGACTTGTGCTTACTTGTGTCCAGAGCCCTACTGACCGATGGTCAACGAAGGGCGCCCTCGAGCTTCGCCCACCGGCCAGTCTGTCTCATGTTTCCCCGGACTTTTCCTGGTCTCCTGATCTCATGGGCGGTCATCTTGCTGTCCCTTCAACTCCTGGACGCCTCAGGTATGTTGAATATACGCACATATACATTTAACACTCACACATATACATAAACACATTCAATACATCTAACTATATGTTATA